CCTGGGACTGAATCTCTCTGAACTTGCATAGAATTGTTTATCTTGAACAACGGAAAAAAATGCTGACCTTGGAGTTACAAGGCTTAAGTCCAAAACAGCTCTTCACCTTCCTAAATGTCTAACCTTGGACAAGTCACTTAGTCATTCTTAGGTTCAGTTTTGTCTTCTGCAAAATGGGGCATTTGGACAAGATGACCTCTAAAATCCTGTCTAGCTTAGATCCCATTCTGGTTCTGTGATCCTATGGTCTCTCCAGATGAATTTGGCAGGACCTTCCAGAAACTGCACAGTGCTGCCTCAATCTGTGTAAGCCCCTGTGGTCACTCCATGCCATGAAATGGCATCAGAGAAGGATTTTGGTGAACCTTCATGCATCCATAGCCCACCCTACATTATTCTTAGTTGTGTACATGTCTTGTCATTCCTACTAAAATATAAACTCCTTAAAAGCAAAATAGTAACTTTGCCTTTGTGGTCCACTTTTTCTTTATCTTGAAATGAAGCAGTTGGGTTAAATGATGATGTCTCTTTAAGCTCTAAATCTTTGGATCTTAAGACACTATCATCTTTACCTTTTTAGCTCCTCCAATACCTACCATCATGTCATGTGTATGGTAAATGTTTAATACATGTTTGTTAAATTAATGAACTAATGAAGCATCTAATGGATAGAAAACCAAATAAATGATAAATACTAGAAATTCTCTCATCTCATTATTAGTATGGTAACTATAGAAACAATCTTTAGGAGAATGAAACCTCACTTCAGGGTTATTCAATTCTGTTCTTTTAATTTTAAATTTAAGGAGACAGAGTTCTATGATCTTATGGTGGTACTAAGAGTGGAAAAAAAGGTTGATTACTAACTCAATTATCATCTTCTATAAAAAGTCTTAAAACAAGTATAGATGTAGACATACAGCATGTCCTAAAAGTCAGTATGGTTTTAAGCTTTCCAAAAAGTCAGACCAGTATATTGGGAAAAGCTTTGTGGAGGTATAATGGAGTGGGGAGAGACTTGAGGGTTAGAGACCAGTTAGGAGGCTATCACAATAGTCCATGTAAAAGTCAACATAGGCCTGGACTAGGGTAGCCTTGAGAATAGGAAAGAGGACAGACATAAGAGATATTACAGAAGTAGAATTAATAAGACTATGTAACTGATTGGTTCCATGGGGTACAAGAGATGCTGAGAACATGCTGCTGGTGATATGAAAGGAATAATTAGCATCCTTAATATTTTAGTAATACTAATTTTAAAATTTCTCTGCCCCACATTTTTGAAAGGAATAAAAATTTGTCTTTTTCTGAACATGATTAAGAGAGGCTCCTAGGCAGGCTATATTTGTCCTCTATATTTCTCTAGCACCAAACTGGTATTTCCATTATAGCTACCCAGTTTCATAGGTGTTTAATGATGATGTATACCTCTCATTTAAACTATATTTAAACACAAAACTCTTAGTGCTGGGATCCCAATTAGTTACTGAGGGCATCTGCTCAGACAAAAATATGCTGATAGGACCATGACTCATTGAGAGTCAATTTGTCTTTACCTTTATCACCCTTTTTCCTTCTAAGTAAAGACTCTATGTGGAGGAACTACTCAGGTTTGGAGCCAGACAATTCAGTATCATATAAAATTATCTGAATCCCAAGGAGGCCTTTCCTGAGAACAATAATAGGCAGGCATTTCTTATTCATAGGTTTGGGACAAAACTGGGGGTGGGTTATGTTGAGAATGATGCTGATGCAGTAAAATGTGCATGAACATATACAATTTAAACTATATAAAGTCTTGTGGCCATCTCTCATTTCAAATTTGATGATTGTTTTTAAAATTTTCATAAAATGAAACATGCAAGTAGTATAACATACAGAGCACTGGACTTAGGAGTCAGTAAGATCCAAGATTGAATCCTGCCCCAGACACTCACTAGCTGTTTAACCCTGAATAAATTACTTAACATCTTTCAGGCTCAGTTTCCTCATCTCTAAAATGGAGATACTAATACCATCTACCTCACAGAGTTGAGATGATACAATGATTTAACATACACAAAGTGCTTTACAAATCTTAAAGCACTATATTTATGCTAGTTATTATTACTATTAAATGGTACTGACAATAGATTCAGTTACTCTGACATACAATTACATTATGGCCTATCTAGGGCAAGGAAAAATTGGTAACAAAAGTCCATTTATTTTAAAATGGGGCCTTTCCAAAATGATCAAATTTATAACAACATTTGGCCAACAAAGTTTGGCTACTAGGATTTTAATCGTGCCTTGAAAATGGTAATTTACTAAAAGTCCCCTACGAATGTGAAAGCATTAGAGCATGTTCTTTCTCTCTCTCTCTCTCTCTCTCTCTCTCTCTCTCTCTCTCTCTCTCTC